GTTTTGGACTTTAAATATATTGTTTAAGCGATAGCTACTGGACTCTCTACTCTTCTTTCTAAGTTAGTCAGGATGCTTTCATGCCTAAGTACAAATGTAACCTGACTTAGACGGGTGTTGTGCTGATTAACCTCTTTGTTTAGCTCAAGAGCCTCTTCCTCTGTCGGGGGAAAATATTCGAAGTAAAGACTTTGTGCTAGTTGCTTCCACATTGGAGGGATATAACTCCTTGAAATCCCTGTGGTCTATATTATGGTGAATTCTCAGTGGCGTGAATGGGTGATTGCTGTAGATGATCACGTGCCATTGTTCTCGATGTGCGGCATATATAATTATTGCAATTTACCTAGAATTCAAAGGGTAGGGTCTGCTCGCACATTACTTAGTTCTTGCAAACATGAAATAAAATCACCTCGCAAGTTTTTTGCACTGGTGTAAGAGCCGGTCAGGCTAGTACTTTGCTGATCAACAATTTAACTGGTTGGAATAATTGAACTTGCTGGTTGGTTATATAGATGTCACAAGGTAGGTAGCCTACATAAATTATGCGTGATTACAACAAAAGTCTAACCTAAGGGACCGATTCTAAAGAAGAAGCGCGTGGTTCAACTGCGCATACTATAAAAGTCTCTAAAAATTTCACCCTGCCGTGTCTTCTATCGAAGGAAATTACCAAAAAAGTCCCAAACCTAATTGTGATTGTGCCAATTCAGTCCTAAAATTGACAACATTCACATAAATAACATGCAACTGAGCTGCTTATAACCACAAGTATCTAAAATTCAAGCAATGGCCAAATGAACAGACCTCAAGTGGTCGTAGCAATCCTCACTGGTTTTGAATATTCTCAAGCACACACCTTCCAAACTTGCACTCCATATGGTTGCACCCATCCACCTTCACTATTGCATATACCCACCCTGTGGACATTCCTTCACATGGTCTTTCCCCCAAAAGGCCACTACTTGAGAGACAAATCAGGATCCTCCTTGTACTCGCGATACCTCTCACAGGAGACATATGGATGATACTCCAAGTGGCACCTGGTATAAGTCTCAGCATAGCAGGCTCCACAGAGAAACGGCTCAGGGAGTATTGCCGGACCTGTGACTTGATAAACTGAAGGACAGTCTGGAGAGGGGAAAAAGTGGTATGACCCCCCACTCGACGCAACAAATGCACCCAAATAGGCACGAAATAGTTCGTCCAATTTCTCAGCTGACAATAATGATCATAAATCAGTAACCAATAGAGGAGCCCCACAAACCTCATGAGCACAGCATACGGGAAAACTATTGAGGTTTCTTATAGCAGATTCACACTGCTCCACCAGAAAGGCCCGACAGAATTGATGTGAACAGCCCTCAAGCCCGCAGCCATCCTCAACCTTGCAAAAGCAAATAGGGCAGGAATCTTCTGCTGCTACCGCCGCTTCATCAGGTGTCTCTGACGAGGCACCAATAGTCTTCGCCAAATCATAGATAGATAATCTCCTCTGCCTTTTCCTTCATGTCCTTATTGCCCTTCGTAAAGATGATGTGGCGACGGGCATTAAGACAGGTTTCAGCATCGGGTACCTTTTCTTTTAGTCCATCAAGGTTGGGCCCAAATTTCTTGAGAACTTCCTTCATCAGATCAGGTGGCAGATCCCTACCACGAAGTTGAATTCAAGTTACTTGCTTTCATGAAGGTTTACAAGGGCTGTGATAAGTTTCTCCTCTGCTACAGCAATTTTCTCTGAAGACACAAACACCCTCAATTCCAATGTGTGCCTGTCGTATAATATCCAGGTTCCACTCTCACGCTAGAGTGATTTCAATAGAGTGATGCCATCTCTGGATATAAGAAATCTGTACTACAGCAGACTGTGACTAGGGTGGTCAACACTCTTCCCTCTCATAAGCTCTTCCACGGGTCTTCTGATCTCTGCCACAGTTCTTGTTGCATTGCCAGAAATTTTCACTCGAAAGCGACCATTTGAAGTCCCGTCCCAATGCCATTCTACCCTTGAGATGAGGTTACTTACTGCAGTTAGTATCCGTCTACAGCAAAGCATGCATTGCTCAGCGCACATTGGATATGTGTAAACATTCAAAAAATGATGCTGTGGCTGTGAATATTATGACACCTCTCAAATCAAAAGCTCGTGAAATCATATATTCCAGTTGACAAACTATATAATCCATAGTTTCCCAGTCTGTGGTGTTGATTTCTGTTACTAAAATTGACCCAGGAAAGGAAACCAAATACCAAAAGAAAAATCATAGGTTGGTAGTTTCCACTAGATACGTGATTCGTCAACCTTGAGACAAAAAAACTTGCAAACAAACTAGGTAAACTCAAAACTGCTAAGAACCTCTCTCACCATCTTCGTTTCCAGATATTACATTCAAGATATGCCATGCAATAAATCAATTCGATCAACAGAAAATATCGATTTTCCATGAATTAGCAATTCAGCAATGTCAAAAAAAAAAAGAAGTAATGATATAGCAATTCAGCAATTTCATAAAAACCAAAAGAAAATGAGCATCTACACTTAATATCACAAGGTAATCATGCAACTATAGTTGTCAATTATATTGTTTACATAATGGTAGAGCAATTCAGAGAACTTCTGACACAAGAATTTAAAGATACCAAAGGTTCACATATAGGAAATATTTCAGCCTTTTTTAAAACCCCATTTGTCATAAAATATTGCATCCAACACTTCCAAGTGGTTAAAGCTAACAATAGACCACATAAGAAGATTGGGTTGCAGGTGCAGCAATGTAAACATTTTTTTTATTAATCACGGGTTACAATTCCTTAACAAAGGATACCACAGGAGATCGATACTGCTACTAAACTTCAGCTTCAAGATATAAAACAATCTCGCATGGAGTACTTTATAAAGTTACTTACTAGAAAACCCTGATGACATCGATGCTGATGTACATTAAAAAGATAAAATCAGAAATCGGAAATGTAACATTGGCAAGTACGCTCATTGTAGACACAAAAGAATAACAAAGGACCTTGTTAAGAATGATACCACTGGCACTTACTCACACCTGACAGACCCTGCATAAAAAACCAGATATACCAAACAAACACAGCAAAAGAAAGACATACAGAATACCCTACTATTTGTCTGCAGAGCTCCAATCACCAACTTCCACCTAAGAGGATGGTTCTAATAAATAGGTTCTAACTTCCGCAACAATAGGCAAGCACTACGCATATTTTTACCGTTCATGGTGTGACGAGATAGAAAGAAGTAACTTCCAGACACTGTCACAGACCAGCGATATTTATAAGAACAAACAAGAAAAGAAAATGTAGCTAGTAAATACATAATAGACCAGACTCATAATGAATCGCGCACTAACAACTAGTAGAAACATTATTCTCACAAAAAAAAAAATGCTTGAAAGAGCGGAAAAGGTTGAAGTGATGCCAGAACTACCTTCAATTTCCTTGAAACTTGCAAGCAAATCTTCCAGTTGCTCTTTGATAACGTAATGGACAGGTGCAGGAAATGATAACGAGATGTGAAACAATTGCTGGCACATTGTCTTCTGCCATGGCAAGAAACCAGGCAATACCTTTCCTTCAATTTGCTCCAAAGCTTTTGCAGCCTCCACCAAATGTAATCTACCATCGAAGGTGATCAAAGCCCTCATATAGGTCTCTTTAGGATCAGGTGGAAAGACTTGAACACCGAAATGATTCGCTCAAGAACAATTTTTGGGCACAAAAGGAGTGCTCTCTCACAGGAGGGCCTCTTCACAGGCGCTATTTGGAGGATTCTCCACAAACTTTCCTCTAAGCATGAAAATAACTCGCTCAAGAGTAGGAAGTCCTTGATGAGGAGCTTCTGCTGGGACGCCCAACGGCTGTACCAGATGAGGTAGAGGTTGATGGGGGAGTTGGAGAGGACAGGGCGCCTGCGGTAGCGGAGCTGGACGAGGTCCGAAGAGCCCTCGAATTTCTTCGAGGAGGAGAGGCAGAGGGATCGTGGCGGGAGATTCGGTTGTGGCATTGGGTTTGCCGGTCGGGGGTGGTTTTCAAGTTCAAGGTCTGGGCTCGTTGAGGATGAGGAGCACAGTGGAAGGACGTTTAAGAAATCTACGGGGGGGCAAGAACCACGAGCACAGTGGAATTGAACAGATTTTGGGCACAGATCATGCAAGTATAAGTCGCTTGAATAGGACGAATGAACAAGTTCTAACTTAAAGGGAAAACAGAGAGGAGGCACAAACCCTCAAATCATTGGGTGAATCAGGAGAAACCCACATGAAAAAAATCCAATGGACCAATCAAATTCACTCAGACAACAAAAGATTGGCGGCAGTAATTTTTGGTGGGCACCTAAAGGGAGATGGATGATCAGGAGTCGCAGAGGTTGGCTTTTCAGCTGGAGAGCCCCAGCAATTCCCCATCTGAACCTACTACTTATTACTCCTTCCTTCCTTATTCTTCTTCCTCAGGATACTATGCAGCAGAAAACGTCGTTTTCGGGCGATTGAAAGGCTGAGATATATATATATATATATATATATATGTTGTCTAGACTTAATCTCATGATGTAAGATCTTCTTTCGATTGAGATTTATGCACAAATGCAATCATAGTGATAAAAACCGTATTATTGATGGTACATGACTGTCAATTTGTCAATAACCTTGATGTTTTTAGATATTCATCTTATTCTTTTTTAGCATTTTCCAGGAGAAGAGCTGGGACAAACCACATTATGCGGTAACCCGTTTGGCTCCGAACACGACCAGGAGAGCGATATTCAGCTGAGATAACTAGGCATTCGGCAGACGAGGCATTCTAAATGCAACCAGAAGAATTTTCGTCAGAACTCTTACTCTCTCCTTAATATCATGAGAGATTATGCATTTTTTGCGCTAATTAATTGATGTGCACAAGGATTTCTAGTGCAGGTCAATAGGCTGAGCCTCTAGACTAAAAAAAAAAGGCTGAGCATGGATATCCAAGTGGACTACTTCAACATCACAAGACAACAGATCGGCAAATTGCAAGGCTCATCGAAGGCCAAAGAGTACGTACTGAGGAAATCCATCTTCTCCATCACAATTGGAGCAAATCATTTCCTCAACAATTACATGAACAAGGCAAACCTACCATGCTTCATTTCTCTCTATGCCTGCTCCTCATGGGTAGGAAGGGAGTAGGTATTCCTACAAACAAATAGATTAAAAGTGAGAAAAAGAAGGAAAAACGAGGCAAAAAAACAAAAGAGAGCAGAGAATCACTATACATATACCCTTTTAGCAATTTGAAGCCGTTAGCCTCGAGCATGTCCCTCATTTCTTTTACGAGGGGGTCTACCACATCTCCAACCGGGATTGGGCCATGGACCTCCACCAATTCAAGCCGAAATCGCGATGGAGCGTGTGCTAAAAGCTCCACTAAAGCTAGGATTTCGTCCACATTGTGGACCACTACTACGCTTCTTTTGTACAGAACTTTATAACATTGTGCCAAATAAGCATCATGAGCGGCCTCCGCGGCTCTTTTCGCATCACGGACAGCTCTGGCGAACGGACAAGGAAAAGAAAAACCGAAAAATCAGGATAAATAAAAAGAGCACTGGCAATTGAAATCGTGTACCTCTTTGCATCAGGCATGGCAGGTAAACACTCGAGGTTGAACTCCAAACGGCGAACCCTTATCTGTTCCGAGGCTTCCCTTCCAAGAAGAGGAAAGTGGAATTAGTGGCACAATTTCGGTCGTTTTTTTCTGACGAACAACTTGATCGTATTACGACATGATAAAGAAAGATCCCTACTTTATAAGAATGTTCATCTGCCAAATTACGCAGAAATCATATGGTAATTCCTCTCAAACAAGAAATTATGTCGGGGGTGATCGGTTCTCGATCCGGTCCGGTCCGGTCCCACCCAGGAACCGGACTAGAATGACCGGTTTTGGAACCGGGGACCGGACCAGACCGATAAAAAGAACGAAACCCTAACACGAAAACCTGCTTTCCCTACGGTATCTGTCTACTTGAGGCACTAAAGCACTCACAGCGAAGATCGGCAGACCAAAAACACACCGCACAGAAACAGACCCATCACCGAAAACAACGTCCAAAACCCAAAACATAAATCCAGCGTCCGAGATCTGCTGAACCCAAAGCGAAACGCGACCAAGCTAAAGCCCAAAAAGGGCAGAGACACTAAAAAAGCTTTCACGAAGCCGAACAGATCAGCACAACCAGCCACGGAGAAAACAAACGCCGACGCGCCACAAAGAACGGCCGCGGAAAGAAGCCCAAAAACCCGGAAAAGCCCTTGAAAGTGCAGAGCAGCGGCGATACCTCAAAATCGGCGGACGGGAGGCCGCACTCCGACGACAATCCGCGGCGAGAGGAGGCGGAGGAGGAGGAGTGAAGGTAAATAGCACCACCGCGTAAGAGAAACGAAAAGGACGCGGAAGTAACCAGCCCTTGCCTTGACGTCTTGGTAAAATGCGTGCCAAATAAAAATGAATAAATAAAATAAAATAAAAACTGACCGATCGGTCCGATTTTCCCTGACCGGAAAATCACCCGTTTTAATTTCATGAAACCGGAAGCCGGACCGGCGGCCCCCGCGAACTGCCTGAAACAGGCCGGTTTGATCCGATCCAAAGTGATTTCTAATTCGATCCTTCCGAGTTCCGAGAGTCCCATTGATATTACCAAAAATTCGTGGGACAAAGATTTCGATAATTTTCAATATGACCACATCGATGTAAGGATAATTTGAGCCATTTTCCATCCTTCGAAGAGTCCCATTGATATTACAATAAAAAAAAAACGTCCCATTGCTTCGTGTTGACAGGTTGGTCAACACTTTTTTTTTCCTTCCTTCTTTCGAATATACAAGAATAAAATAAAACATTCAAGTTTTATTAACGAGTTTCTCTTCGAGAATTTGTTAAGCATATTTAGGGTCCGTTTGTTTCGCTGAAAATATTTTCCGGGAGAACACTTTCCTCATTTCCGGCATTTGGTTTGCTTAGGAAAATAAGTCAAAGAAAAATATTTTCCTAATAAACGGAAAATGTATAATTACTAAAGCTTAAATTCAGAAAAATGTTTTCTAAAATATGACTAGCTATCGCCGATTGGACCCGAAACTTTACACTTGGGCACAAAAACCCCAACATTGATTCCCGAGTCTTGACATCCAGAACCAGGTCTCGGTGGCCGGGCTCGAGACCTCGGTATCCAGGGCCCAAGCCCCCCCGGCGCCTTCGCTCGAGTCCATCGAGGCTGAGCCCGAACTCTTGGTGCCCGTACCTAATGCTCCGGCACTCGACTTGGGTCCAGAATTATTACTCCAGATAAAATTGGTGTTTTTTTTAATTAGTCTTAATTAAAATAGATATAGAAAATCAGAGGAAACGTCCTAAATATTTCTAAAAGAAATCTAAAGTTCCTAATATTGCTAACATCTTCCATTACTCATTTGCTCTCTTGGTGGAAAAAATGGGCTATGCATTAGCTTTGTCATACTTCATTAATTAATTGCAATTGTTATGACACGAGATGATGGTAATTCATGGCAAATCGACTAGAAAAAAAGTTTCTATGACCCACGTTTTACTTAGATTCGTTTAGAATCATACAATCTAGTTTGGAATTTATTAATTTGACATATGATGGTTGGCATAATAAGCCTTCTCTCTTGTTTTTCGGCCATAGGGTAAATCCACTTTCTTCTACGTAACCATCAAAATGTAACGCCAAACTGTGGAAACTGGTGGCAGTACACAATGTTCTAAGTTGAATGCCCATGGGTCAAATAGATAAATCCTTACCTTACCTTACCTTATTCTCATCATCTCTCTGGTCATGTACAGTTTAATGCCGCATGATCTGTTCAGTGTCTCGTTCAGTCTTAAGGGATAAAACATGACCCTTTTTCCATAGCACTAGGGTGTAAGGAGATGAGAAGCTAAATTGTGCATATCAGAAAATTTGACCCATAGTTCTCTTTGGGCTCACTGGCCTTGTGTTTTGGCATGTAAAGGTTACCGGGTTTTGGTTGTATTCGGTGAGGAAGAAAAACTTTACTCCTATTCAGAGTGCGAGGCATGCGGTATGTTAAAATAATGATGCCTTTGCGAATACAAAGGGACAGGCTATGGAGGTCGCACGGCTTCCCCTCTCTTTGGTGAGGGCATCTCTATAAGTAAGCGCCGCCAAGGATCCAAGGAGCCACTGGTTACCAGGTTCATGGGCACGGAAAATACCCGTTGAAAATTAAGACTGAAAACTTGAAATGCGGCAACACAGTCGAACAAAGTTTTGAAATGCTCGAAGTCACCCTGCAATTCAATCTCAACATAAGAGATGAATGGCTGCAAACCATCACATCAATACCAGTTCACTTCCTCGGAAGCAAACTAACAACACAAATTACCATAAAATCTCTCAGAAAGAACAAAGGTAGAACCATAATGCTCCTCTCTCGAACCTGCTATGCTTCTCCTCCTCTCCTATTCATCCTCTCACTCTTCATCATCATCCTCCTCCCACTCATCATCCTCCTCCTCCTCCTCCTCCTCCTCCTCCCACCGCTTATTCCTCTTCTGATCCACCTTTTGAGGATTCCCCTGCTGTTGAGGAGGGGCGTCACTGTTCCTGCAAATAGAATTAAAGTGAAAAAGAGTACGAAAGAAGAAGGCGAGAAAACACAAAAGAGCAAGCAGAGAATCACTGTACCATTCCCGCAACTCAAAGCCGTTAGCCTCGAGATTCTCCCTCATTCTAGCCTCGAGGTTCTCCCTCATTTGTTGCACGAGGGGGTCTACCGCATTTCCAACCGGGCCACGAACCTCCACCCTGCGAAGCCCGTAAGGCGGTCGAGCTTCTCCTAATAGCTCCAATAAGGCTGTGATTTCGTCCACGTTGTGGACCACTATTGCGCTTCTGTTCAGGACTTTACAAGCTTGTGCCGAATAAGCATCCTCCGCAGCATGCCTGGATCTCTGAGCTTTAAGAACAGCTCTGACGAACGCACAAAAAGAAGAGAAGGTGAAAAGACAGAAATCAGAATTAATACAAATTTAGCATCGACGATTCGAAATCCCGCTCCGTGTACCTCTTTGCGGCTCTTGTAGCAGCTAAAAGCTCGCGGCCGTACCTGGCACGGTGAAGCTTCCTCTCTTTGGAGGCTTGATTAAGCCTTCCGAGAAGGGTGGGAGGGGTATTGCCCATAGGTTTGTGTTTGGTCGTGTGATCTGCACTCGGAGGTCGAGCTTTATGTAACGGGTTCTGTGGCCGTTCGATATGCCCAACTGGTTGGAGCCGTCCATGGAGATGATTTGCCGAAAACCTATTCCTTAGCTTAGTGTCCCCAGAGAGCACCTTTGATGGTGTCGTCATGGCTCCTATTTGCAGTTCTCCTCGCAGGCATGCCTGAAGAGTCTTGAACTACCCGATATCAAGGTGGAAGAAATATTCAAAAAGATTTCATGAATTCAATCTCGAAAATCTCGAAATTATTTGGAAAATTCTATTATAAAGCAAAGGATGTTCTAAGAGGATTTCAATCTCAAAAGTTTCCTAAAGAATTTCTATCAAATAGGGAAAGCCAATCGTGAGATCCCAAAATCCTAACATAAATATCAAATGAGAAGGATTTTGAAAGATTTGCGATCCTAAGGTGCAGATTTTCAAAGATTTATAAAGATTTACATATCTCTACAATCTGAAGTAATATTTGAAGAATTTTTTTTCTCCATACTTAGAGGATTTCCTTTTATCATATCTTATTCCATTCTGAATCTGAACAACCATTTATTTGCAATTCAAATTTCGCAAACCAATTTCATAAAATAGAACTAGAACTATAACGCATGAACTAATTTCATAAATCTCCACAAGTCGGTCAACAACAACAATATAATCAAACATAACACCATAGTTTCTGTTCTAATGAGAGAGAGAGAGAGAGCGTAATGTAAAAGAACTTCGCAGCTAGCGTTGGACATGGTCAAATGGGAGCTACAACTACAAGATGTTCATCTACTTCAACCGGAAGTTCAAGATCACCGAGATCATCAAGGCACCCATCAAGACGTCGGGGAGTAGTCATGGCCACGGTTCAGGAACCGCCGGTTCCGACCGGAACCGGCGGTTCCGGTTCGTGGCCATGTATGAACCGGAACCGGCGGTTCCGGGCCGGTTCCGGTTCCGGTTCCGGCCGGTTCCGGTTCCGGTTCCGGCCGGTTCCGGTTCGAAGGGGGAGGAGGAGAAAATGGGAGGAGGCGCAGGGTAGCGAGGGGGAAGGAGGAGGGGGCGTCGGCGGCTGCGGCCATGGGCGGGGGCGACGGCGGCGGGGGTCAGATCTGGGAAGACGGGGGGCGGGCGGAGGAGAAAAGGGGAGGGGGAGGGCTTGTTGGAGGCGGAGCAGGTGACGAAACGGGCGCCCGGGGCTCGCCGCCCGGCCGAGGCGGCGGCGTCGGACGGGGCGTGCTCCGGCGAAGCGCGGCGGAGGCGGGCCTCCGGAGCCGCATTCGACGTGGCGAGGCCAGAGGCGGGAGCCGGGGAGCCCGTGGATGGGAAGAGAAACGGAAGCCATGGCCACCATGGCTACTCTCTCAGCTCCTTCATCACTTTCGCACGCGAAGCGAACTTGCTGTTGCAGAGTGAAATCTGTTTTTTCCGTGCATATAGTTCAGATCTGGGAAGAAGATGACTCAGGTTTTTTTTTTTTGGAACTGGGCCCGGAACCGCCGGTTCCACAATTATTGGAACCGGAACCGGGCCCGTAGGACACGGGCCGGTTCCGGTGCCGAACCGCGGGCCCGGTCAACGGGCCGGTCCCGGGTTTGACCCGGGCCGGTTCCGGGCCAAAACCGGTCCGTGGCCATGACTATCGGGGAGGCCTTCCCTTGCAGGCCCCGCGTGTGCTCCGACTGGCTGCGGCAGTTCGTGGCGGAGCACCAGGGCGAGCCGAGCAGTGGCGCCGCCGTGTCGGGGGGCAGGGCGCGTGGCGGAGCAGGTCCTCCACACCAAAGTTCCATTTGGTCCCCAACCACTAAGAGAGGCCTTGCACTCGGCATTTCTTCCCTTACTTGTCGCGCGACGATCTCAACAGGCCCACCTTGCGCCATCACGACAGAGCTAATGAATCAACTAGCAATATCTAGCTTGGGATGCCACTGGATTTAGGTCGAATGTCTTGCTCATCTTTCCTGCGCCTATCTTCTTCCAATGGTGCTGCAGATCAGTGAGACGATACACAAATTCTTCAACCCTTTTGTGGTTTGCGCTCTTACTTATCAACAGATGCAATTTCTTTTGTTTTTGATAAGAAAGAGAGAAGAATTCACTATTCGAGAAATGGAACTTGCATGTAAAAATATAAGGAATGGCGCTTCGCCTATCGTCTTTGCTAGTGAAACTTCGCCTTTTGGAGATGCTATCGCTACAGAATTGTGCTATATATCACAATGCTCTCGGGGACATTTGCATCAAGTCTGGTCCGGTCATGAACCATGAAATTAATTGGAAGCATTTTTAACTAGTCTGACACTTCATAAGAGGCGAAAAAAATTATTTATCGAAACTTATCACACGAGTTAAAAACGATCTGTTGATCGATACATTAATAAGAGCAGTTTTCCTAAATTAAAAAAGACTTGAGAGGAATGAATCCAAGACAATCTTGAAATTACCTTCCTTTATGGGAATGCCAATGCTCTTGTGGAAACTATTTGGTTTGGTGGAGTCCTAAGAGTTAGGACCACTTTCCAAAACTCACAATATCTGTTTGAGTGTGCGATCACTAATGTTGCTACCTGCACCTTGTGTGGCCCTGACTAGTCTTTTTCCAATAAAACATGGTCGGTTGATTCAATCGGCTCACCAATAGGCATGCGGCCCTGCTGGTAAAGGGATTGGGGGAGTGGGGACGCTAGTATCACAGGTGCGAGATTCGACTCCTGCCCTTTATAAGAGGCAAAGCAAAAGTCAAAAAGTAACGAGAGTTAGAGATATGACATACTAAAAAAAATAAAAATTCAACCGGCTCAATCGGGTAAGGGTCAAACCACGGGCACAGATTAGCACCCTATAGTTTGTTGCTTTCGATATAAAATGCGCTCAATAACTCAAACGGGATCGTTTAAAACCAGGTCAATTGCTTACAACTTATCTTATGGGTTCTTTCACCTGTACATTCTTCCAAAACGCTCGTCATCAGCGACCCAACAAGGATTGCCAATCAACCTTTCTTCAGCATATGGAAACGGCTTACAACTCTTCCGTTAGCACCCGCAGGGTCAAGACCACTCTTTGGACCATCAGGAAATCTAGAAATGCTCACATTTTCAATACTTGGCCACGTTGTAATAATGGAGTTCGTGACGATGGGAAAAGGGGGTAGGTTTCAATCAGCCATTTACTACCAGCTTGTAAATAGCATTGTAAGCTACATTTTTTTTTTCTCTCTCTATGTTTGTGTTCTGGCAATTCATCTTTCTATAATTCGATTCATGATGGTACTCAACCGCTTCCTTTTCCAGGTCTATTCTTCTACAAAAGTTGTGTTTTTGGTTGGAATTGCTTTCGTCGACGTACTTAAAGTACATGGACGCGCGGTATGATGCACTGATAAACTGCTCATACCCGTCTTCTTTGCCATGCTTGGAGTTGGAGATAGATTTCTCATTTTGCGCCATTCATTTTGTTGTATCAACCTTTAAGTGACATCACAGTTATTTGCTGATTAAAAAAATAAAAAAAGGCGTCATATTGCCTGTGATGGCAAAGAGAGAATGACATCACAGTTATTTTCTAATCTTTGAAAGAGGCATTATATTGCCAGTGACACATAGGTGCTTTAACAGTTAAACTTTCATTCTCTCTTTGGATAATGGCAACCGAATAACAAAATTTTGGTGGAACAGAACCACCATTTTGCTAAATTGAAAATGTTATTTTTCAGTGTCATTTTTTCCTGTAGTCAATTGTATCCTGTTAACTTTTTGTTATGCTCTTGGTGCAGTTACTTTACGTACATTACACTAGAAAAGCTTTCCAGGAATTTGGAGACTACCAATGCTGCTTCTGGTATTTTCTTCATTATTTTGTACTCTTCCTATCAGATGACAGAAGTTTTGCTGATGGAAAGGATGGAAGGGAGTTGAAAGCTATCCTTTCGAGCCTAAAGTCTCGCAGTTCCTTATTGTGGCGGGACTGGTGTCTGTTTAGCTGTATAGCTTGTGGTGACATTGTCTGATATTCATCTTGATGTTAAGAGGTGTTAATAGCATTTACAGGCCTCTGCATAATGTCATGCACCATCACAAATTGTCTCCCTGGGAAAATATGACCGAATCAGAAAAGAAATAGGTTTTATGATCATCCTTTTTGGTGGTCCACATCATTCTCTTTTTTCTTACCTGAAGGGGCACGAAGTAACCATGATAGTTTCAAATACTGGCTAAATATTCCGGCTAGTTAAGGGCATTTTCATTTAAAGACAATTTTAACCTAAAATTTAGCTAAATTAGATTAAAAATTAAGAAAGCTAAAAAAAATTTTAGAAAAGAAAAAAATATAGGCGGACGGCCTAGGTTTTTTGTGTGTGTTTTCTTTTTCTTTTTTTAAGTTTTATCCTTTTTTTTTCTTTTTTGAGTTTGCCTTTTTTATGAAATTTTTTTGGATATTTTAACCTAATATAATGAAGGTTTTGCGTAAAACTTAGGATTCAGATAAAAACAATACCGTTTTAGTGTTTTAGTTAAGCTTAACACCATGTAGAATGCCACGTAGGAGAGATAAGATATTAAAGAAATCATGTTAGTATTTTCACTTAGTCAAATTAGACAAGCTTAGTGGCCGGACTCGATTCTGGACGAGGACCTGCAAGGCCTCGTTAGCCGTTGGCGCCCAAGTCCTCATTGGCCGCGAGCAAGGCAAACCTCTAGATTTGGCAAGGGCCAGCCTTGCCTGTGGCCAGCAAGGGTCGCCCAGGCGAGGCTGACCTCGCCTAGGTAGCGCATGGGGGACCCTTGCTTGCCCTCTTCGGGTATCATTCACTACAAAAAAATACCGGATTAGCGACGAAATTTGCGACGGAAAAAATTCCGTCGCTACTAGGTCGTCGCAAAATTTTGCGACGGAAAATTCACAAGTTTGTCGCAAATTTGCGACGAAAAAAAATTCGTCGCAAATTTGCGACGGCACATAGTCCGTCGCAAAATTCGTCGCAAATATCCGTCGCAATTTCGTCGCAAATTTCGTCGCAAATTTGCGACGAACTCAATCCGTCGCAAAATTCGTCGCAAAAATCCGTCGCAAATTCGTCGCAAATTTGCGATGAACGTTTGTCTGTCGCAAAATTCGTCGCAAAAATCCGTCGCAATTTCGTCGCAAATTTGCCACGAACGTTTGTCCGTCGCAAAATTCGTC